AGAGAGAGAGAGAGAGAGAGACAGAGAGAGAGAGAGAGAGGAGAGAAAGGAGATGAGAGAGAGAGAACTCTAATTGCTTTTTCACTTCATTTCAATTCAGTGTTAGTATACTTTCACACAAACCTGACACTAAAAGCATCTTTGATAGCTGTGGAGACAAGGGAAACTCTGCCATCTGTTGTCCTAGAGGTCTAGTCAGTGTGCCATCTTCACTGAGAGCTCCGAGGGCAACGAGTTCATCCAAGGCAGCTGTTAGGTGTCGGGCAGGAGGTGGTGAAGGGAAGTCAAACCTGAGCATATTTTCTGGAAAAGTGATGGAAAGCATGAGATGCAGAAGAAAGAAAAACATGGGATGATGAAGTGCACAAAACAGAGAATGAAGGAGAAATGTAGAAGAAAGGAAAGCAGATGATGTAGAAGAACAGGAAACATTAAATTTAGATAAAGAAAAGGAAGCAGGAGATGAAAATATAAAAAGAGATAAAATAAATGTAAAGAAAATGCAGAAGTACAGGGATAGAAAGGAGATGTTTATAGCAACATGAAATTAAATACATTATAGTTATATAGTTATAAACATGAAATTAAATACATTATAGTTATATGCACTATATCTCATATTAGGCCAAACCATTTTTCTTTCATTGAGACCTACGTAAAACTACACTTACCAATCCCTAAGGCCATGAGACTCAGAACTGCTGGCGAGAGATTAGTTCTGACCATCTCAGGTGGGGTGACTTCACTTAGCTTGTCAAACTCATCCTCTGGATACAACCTATTATGCAAGATATATATCACTTTATGCTAAATAACTTCCATAATAGCAAATGTGGAACAGCAACATTGAAGTCAAAATAGCAAAAATATAAGTGTTATCACTCTATTATATACAAATGCAAAGAAAATAAAAAAAGAAAGAAAGAAAGAAAAGAAAAAATATATATGCAATGAATAATAATAATGTAAGTTTTCATATTAATAATAACAGCAACAATTATCATGATAACTCTCGGTATCATAAAATTATAGAGAATATCCAAAGAAAAAATAAAAATAAACAGAATAGCAGTAGGACTTTTGAAGAAAATGCCACCTCACCTGTACACTTTTCCTGATCTCACCCTTCCAGCTCTTCCAGCTCTCTGAGTGGCAGATGCTCTTGAGGTAGGAACAACTACCAATGAATCAGTGTGACTCTTCACATTGTACCATCGAAGCTTTGCAAAGCCACAGTCCACCACTATGGGCAGGAGAGAAGAAATTTATTGTGACTAACTTTCTCTGAGAATTCTTAAGTAAAAGATATTATGAATTAAGCTGACAATAAAATATGAAATATAAAAAGAACGCTTAGGACATAATTCTAATGTTTTTTTCCTAATTAAAGAATAGAATACAACTCATACAAGAAAAGCTACCATACCATACACAATCCCAGGAATTGTAACAGAAGTCTCAGCAATGTTGGTAGCAACAACAACTTTTCTTACTCCAACAGGTGAAGACTGGAAGGCACGTAACTGTTCACTGTTACTTAGACTCCCATGCATTGGCAAGACAAGCAGTGAATCTATAAGAAGAAAAATCATGGTTGTATGGTAATATTACCAGGAAAGAATGATAAAAGCATCTGGGTACATAATATAGGAAGATTTCTTAAAGTCACTGCTTGAGTTTTACATAATGTACTGCACCTAATATTCTACTCTCTGTATGTAATCCCAAAATCCTATATTTCATGCAACAGCAGGACCAAGTATGGGGAAGAAACTTGTTTGCAAATCACAAAAATGCAATGCAAAATACAAAACCTCCTATAGCACTAGTAATCAAATGGCATCAAATGCAATAACAGTAAGACTACTAATAACATCAAACAACCTTCATTTTTCTTGAGAGAAGCAGCCTCTTCCTTCAGATAGGATACACAGTTGTCAACCTCTTCTACTCCTGTTAGAAAAACCAGAATGTCACCAGCAGGTTCTTTTCTGTGGATCTTCATTACTGTCTCAACACTACATTTTACATAGTCAGCTGCTCCTTCTGAAAGTAAGGTAAAGACATTATTGTACTTACATGTCTGCTATACCATGGTAGTAGATATGCTTAAAGCAAGGATGGTGTACACTTCTTGAAACTCAAATATTAGATATAAACCAAGTGCCATAAAAGAAGTTATTAACCAAGTGAGACAACTGTTCACATTGTTTGAAACAAGTGAAAAATAGAAAAAGTATCAAATGTTTTAACCCATAAATACCTATAATCTAACAACAAACATTTAACATCCTTATGCTATTTATTTAAAGGCCTCTCAATTCTGAAAGGCTAATCAAATAAAGTTTTAATTGCTTCACTTAATACCCATGAGAAAAGAAAAAAAACTTGTACCCCAAAAAATCTTTGCTTTACCCTCTAGATAAAAGATGTCAACTGGATGAGTACGGCCCTCCACTGAAATAACTGCTGCTGTATCTTTCTCTCTCTTGCTGGTTGTATTGAAGTTGAAAAAGTTGTACAGTTGATCTGCATCCACAGTTGCTGAGCTGATGACTAATCGCAAATCTCGACGTTTTCTTAAAATTTTCTTCATCAGGCCTAGAACTATGTCTGTATACAGCGTTCTTTCATGCACCTCATCCAAGATTATTACTGAGTACTGAAAATATTAAAGCAGGATTTATTAATATCCAAAGAAAGGAAATTTTATCCATAACTTATTTGACATTAAAATTAACAAAACACTGAGCATATATACATTCTACATCCTATAACACTTTGTGATGAAACTCTGATGAATTTGGTGTGGAACCCATCTGTGCACTGTATTATATTGCATTGTGTTGATGAAACTCCAGTTCTTTCAGAGGTGTTTGATTTTACTTCATATTTATGAAGTCAAATAATCACTGCCTAACAGTGATTATTGTGATTAGAGAGTGATTCTGTCAGTTTCCTATCTTATCACAAATATATGAACATATGCCTATCCAAAGGAGTTAACAGGGAAGTTGCATTTATCAAATATTTTGTTAATTTAAGCTTCCATCTATAACATAAACACTGATATCTTCACTTCAATGTAATACAATCATGAGAAAGAGAGTATTAACATGAATATATCAATGTTCATGTTCTAGGTGAGGGTTTAAATGGAAAAAAACATTAAATAAACACATTGTCAGACAATTGGTCAGAGACCACTTTGGACATGGATATCTTTATGCATAAAAACATTTTGAGCACAACTTAGGTTTCTAATACTTTGCACTTTTGGGGAACTAACAATGTAAATATGAAGTGAAATCAAATACCACTGAAAGAACTGGATTTTCATCAACACAATGCAATATAATACAGTGCACAGATGGGTTCCACATTAAGTGTAGATAAAATGAATGCCTAGAAAAGAAGAACTCACATTCTGGTAAAAGATGTGATGAATTGAATAATTCCTTAAACTCTTTGAAGAGCTTCAAAATACACTTCAAATTCAGATACCATAAATTAGGTTTAAAGTATCATAAACAAATTACAAAGCCAAATTACATGATACATAATAAAATGATCTGGAGCCCTGTAAAAACCATTCATTTGAAAAGCAATATATAAGGCATGAGATTAAAGGGTTTGGGCAGCTTGTGCCTCTGTAACAAACACTTGTCAGAAATGTTCTCTACTCATGGAAAACAAAAAAAAAACTCAAAACTAACTAATAAAATGGGGAATATTTGACTTTCTAAAATCAAATTCAGAAATACTATTAACACCACCAGGTCAAACAACAAGAAGAGACCCAAAAACTGGAAAAAAATTAACTTTAAATTTGATGATAGGAACTCCTAATCTAAGTCACTCAGACATAAATTCAGGATCATATCTAACCAGTGATCACTTACCAATAATTATAAAATTCAATAATATCCAAGATTTACTGCACAAAAAGGAAAAGAAAAGGCACTTCACAAAAGAAGGCTGGAACTAGTATCAAACAGAACTGAGAAATACAAAAATTGTAGATTTAAATTCTCTCCTGGAAATAGCAAACAGGCTAAAAGAAACAGGGAAAAAGTATTTCAATTTTGACAATAAGGAAAATAAACAAAAACTCAATATACCTTGGTGGAATGAAACTCGTCATAAAATAATAAAGAATAGAAACAAAAGCTTTTAACACATGGAGGAGAAAACCCAACAAAGAAAATTAAATAGAATATAAAAAACTCCTCGCAGAGAGTAGACAAATAATTGAAAATGAAAAAAGGAAAGCCTGGGAAAAATTCTGTAGTGAACTGGACTTTAAATCACCACCAAATTATATAAAGAAACTGGCAGGAAAAATAACCACCCAAAGTTACTCTATAATACATAACAACCTCCCCATAACTAATAAAAATGACAAACAAAATTTATTCAAGGAAGAATGCAAAACGATTATCAGTAAAGAACCTAAAGTAATAACAACCAAAGCAAAGCTAGATTGATTATTAATTCTTCCTAATACCAAAGAGCTAAATAAAGAAATAACTATGCAAGAATAAAAAAGAATCATAAATAAAACCAAGAATAGAAAAGCTTATGGGCCAGATGAAGTAACCTATAAACTTTATAAAGCAACAAATAACATTTTAAAACTAATACTAGAAGAAATTAACAAACAGTGGCTAAAAGGAGAATATCCTAACAATTTAAAAACTTTATTAGTAAATCTAATAATAAAACCTGGGGAAAATCCAGCAAATATAAACTCATACAGATTCAAAGTAAGATTTCAAGTCTAGGAAAGATATATGAAAATATTATAACAAATAGAAAAAATTGGTGGTTAGAGACCCGACAGGATTTAGACCTAACAGATCAACTATGGACGCATTGCATATAATAGAAGAAATAATTAACAAAACTTTAAACGAAAAGAAATACACTTTGGTAGCCTGCCTAGACCTAGAAAAGGCTTTCGATTCTGCAAATCATGAAGCAATAATAATAAAGGCTGCTAATTTAGGTATCAATGGTAAACCACTTAGATGGATTGAAAACTTTTTAAAATACAGAACATACCAAATAACAATAAGAGAAGGTAAATCTAAAAAAAGAAAAAAAAGGGTGTACCACAGGGTTCACCACTCAGTCCAACTTTATTTAACATTCTAATGTCGGACTTGAACTTGTCAGAAAAAATATACAAAGTAATATGTACAGATGACATCACTATAATTTCCCAAGACAAAAATATAATAAAGGTTAAGACAGAATTGGAGAAAGCAATAAAAGAAATAAAAGAATGGACTGATAGATGGGATCTTAAAATAAACAAATTCATGTGCTTCACAAACAATCGTATTAGAAATATCCTAGAAAAAGATATAGACAATGAAAAACTGATATCTACAAATAAACTTAACATACTAAGATTAGATTTTGACACACCAAAATTGACATGGAAGTCCCATACAGATAAGAAAAAATGTCAATCCCAAAAAGACTAGATATAATGAAAAAACTTACCACATTATCATGTGGAGCAAATAGGGAAACATCAATAAAATTTTATAATATCGATATAAAACCAAAAATAATGTATGGTAGTTCTATATATGAAACTATAAAAAATTCAGAATAAAAAAAAATTATAAACCATACAAAATGAGGCATTAAGAATAGCCACAGGTTGCTTCAAATCAACACCATTAATAGTTCTTCAAGCACTAACAAATATAATGCCACTGAGACAAATAAAAAAACAACAAGAGTGAATGACACAAATCTTATAAAAACAAGATACTATGCCTATCAAACAACCAATTACAAATTTGATAAAAAAGTATAATGTAAATATAGACAAAAGAACTCTAGTACACAGAGTTACAGAGACATGTAAAGAACTAAAAATCATAAGAAAAACAAATATATATAATGCAGCTCAATTACCACCACGGTATGATATTAACCCATCAGCGACGGGTAAAAATTTTGGCAAGTTTACGTATGCACCGGCTTGTTGGCGCGCACCGGCAGTTTCCCCTGTTTGCGCCCGGCTCGATCGGTAGTTTTCGAGCAACATATAGCACCTAAAAGCTTTTATTTTGCTAAAATTTATAAAAATATTAAAATTTTGAAGGTTTACCTTCACTTTAAGTGCCATTGCCTAAAATCTTTACCATATAAATGAAGCCGCTACTACTGGAAAAAACAACCTCCGTCCGACGAGCCAGTAGTGCGGGAATGGGCATGGCATGATGCCCCCGGCGTTTGGTCCACAACAGCCATGGCATGTAAGTACATGACACCTGGCGCCAATGAGTTAACCAAAACACTGACACAAACTTCATGCATAATCTCTCAAAAGATACTCCGGATGAAATAATTTGGAAACAATTTCAAATGATGGAAGATACAATATACAAAAATCATTAAAAAATATTCACAAACGGATCTAAAATAAATGAAACTAACTCAGCCTCAACAGCAACTTACATAAAAGATAAAAATATCACAACAATATGGAAATTACCAAAAGAAACTCAAATACCTGAAGCAGAACTATTTGCCATAAAACAAGCACTAAAATACATTCAAAACAACAACTTAAAAAACACAATGATTTACACTGATTCCAAATCAGTAATTTACTCAGTACAAAACCTTAACCCAAAGAATTACAAACACACTACATTTGAAATACAATCATTATTTCTTAATTTATCAGAACATGAACACAAAACAATTATACAATGGATACCAGCACACAGAAACACAAAGGGTAATGAAATAGCAGACCTAGCAGCAAAAACAGCACACAACATAAATAAACCATTCAGTACAACTAAAGATATCTCAAATACTGTAAAAGAAATCAAAAACAAAACTCAAAAGATTTGGGAAGATTACATGAATAATGCCCTAAATACAAAGAATTACCTCATAAAAAAACACAAACCCTCAACCTTGGACAAAATAAAAAAAACAGAAAACTGTACATATGTATAACGAGACTGAAAACAACACACACAAGACTAAAACATCATCTTCACAGAATAAAAATTGAAAACAATCCTTTTTGCAGATGGTGCAAAAATCGTGAAGAAACAATAGAAAACTTATTTCTCCGATGTCTAAGATCTAACTCAAACAGAGTAACATTGCTGGAAGCTCTAAAGAAAATAAAGATCTGTACGAAAGAAGACATAGAAAGGATCCAGGCGATATAGACAACAAGAGTCTAAAACCCTATAAAAGAAGAAAGAAGAAGAAGAAGAGAATAAAATAACATAAAATCAGCCTACCTGTCTTAACAAGGGATCAGCCATCATCTCTCGAACAAGTATGCCCTCTGTCATGTACTTGATTTGTGTGGTCCCTGGTATGCAGCGATCATCAAACCGTATTGAATAACCAACTTCTCGCCCTAATATAACATCACACTCATCTGCGACACGATTGGCGAGTGAGGTACATGCAACACGCCTGGGCTGTGTTATGCCGATTATTCCATCTACAGGCCAGCCAGCTTCTCTGAGATACTGTACAGAGGAGGTTAATAGTTAATACATCAGATATGCTTCTGATTTTATGAGGAAAAGAAAATGTGATTTTTCTACCAAGAAAGAACATTACTTAAAAAAAAAATCATATGAGTATTATCATATAAATAAAACAGTGAAAAGGAAGGGAAAAAAAAAAAAAGGAAAACTAAGAACCCTATCTCCAAGCTCATATCAGACTCCAAAAATTCACCATCATATTACCTGTGGTAATTGTGTACTCTTTCCAGAACCAGTCTCTCCAACAACTATGGTGGTCTGGAATTTCTCAATCAAATAGAGTATATGGTTTCGAGCTGGGAAAACAGGCAACCTCTGGCGTTGTTTATCAATTGTCATAGAATGGTGGGGATTGTAGATAAAGGAAGTCCCATTTGTCTGGTCTACATCACTACGGTCTTCAGTAAATATGTCATCACCTGAAAGAAATTGTTTTGGATAATAAAGTTAAAGGTTCTGTAAATGGAACTGAAGATATGATTTAAATAATTTTCATTACATTTCATTAAATCTGTCAATCAATGCAAATATATATTGTGCAGATATAATAGGCAAAAAGTGATGTTCAATAGCTAATACTCTTTTTGCTGTCTTCATATTTGACTATCAGTTCATATGTACATGAATACTTGTATATGTATGGAGAAATATATGTAATCTTACCTGGTTTTAGAAATTTAAGTTTGTAAGACATTGTAGATTTGGTTAACTTTGCATCTAAGAGACAGCCTGGAAACCTGAAAGAAATAGTAAAATTGGTTATAATACTCTGTGTCCCTGAATTCCTGATAAAAATGTATAAATGTTTAACAAAAATATTCTATCCATCTTCATACTGGCCATTTACTATACTTTCTCAAGGCAGTCTGCTATCAAATATTCAATGACTGACCTAATAGTGGCACACTTCAAAATTCATATAAAAGGTTTAATTCAAGCTACTCCACAGATATTTGAAGAACGTGGCATTTGATTTCCTTCTTCAAACACTTTAGAGAAACCTTTAATGTATGTTATAAATCAATTCTTATCAAGAAAGACTCAACAGTAACAATACTCTACCCATCTTATTAGCAGGGAATAAATATATTTTTCAGTTAATTATTATCAATAACCAGTCAATCACCAATAATCTGTCATCCTCTCATGAATCATCAACAACCTATCAAAGGTGTCTTTCCCTTAATTAAAAAAGGACTAAAGGTGATAAAAACCGAACACAATTACATTATCATAAACTTAAAGCTTCAACATCAGGAAAATGGGTTTTCTCAGATTCAATAAATTAAAATTGTATGATCGAATATAATTTGAGATGATAATAATGAATAATAACCAATAAAGTGTGTGTTTTTGTGTATTTGCATGGTGGTGTGGGTGCACATGTGCATGTCCATGAGTGCATGACACATGTAAATATGTGTGAGCATGCAAATGCAGGTGTGCTTAAGTGCATGCATATAGATGCACCTGTGTGTATGTAAGTCCATTTGTATATATCTATATTTTCTAACCTAAAACAACTACCCGATGCTAAAGATTGAATAACTATTCGCTTTACCGGTATATGATGTATAAAATGCACCGATACAGTTAATATTCGATTGGTCAACTGCTATCAATGTGTAAATTATCATACAATGAGCATGCATTGTTACAAAATCATAAATATACTTGATTTACACAAAAATCTAAATAAAAGACGAAGAGAAACCTCAGATACAGTTCAAAATATACCATTCAAGTTCAAGTTGCACTCACTTTATCTCTAAATTAAGTGACCTAACATTTCGTTAATTAAATAAAACCAGGATGCCAGCGTCCATGAGCACATTGCTACAAGAACACACCAAAGACACCTTAAAAAATATCCAAAATACATAATATAATGTCTAAAAACTTTACCTTCAAAATACAACGTTGTCAAACGTTTACATGTGACGTCACGATCAGCTGATTGAGGCAGAGGTTTGTTTATTTATATTTTCTAAATGTGGTTTGAAGTATTTACTTTTACCCATTTTAATGATGTTGAATTCTATACATGGATTATAATATGTTTTAATCATCATTTATGATACAAAATGCGTAAAGGACATACAGATGTTAATTGAGTTGCTAACCTGTGTCACGTCTGTCATTTAGTTATCAGTTATCATTATTGTCTTGTATCTTTATTATCAGTTGTTTTCCAGTGATCTCTTTTCGTGCATCGATTCTGGACAAGGGAAGGACCAAACAGGAAGATCATCTTGTGATTTGAAACTGCCAGCATGTCGTACCGAGAGATAAGAAGTACGTGGTAATTCCTAGGGGAATTTTGGAAAATAATGACGTGTTATAATCGACTTTGTGTAAGGGATAGTTAGGTAGTTTATGCCTTTGCTGTCTTGGTTTTAAACTGTGGTAGTTTACTTCATTGATGCATTAGTGATTTGAGGTTATCCTTATGT